GTATGAAGGGGTTAGAAGCAGCCAGGAGTGGACTAAAAGAGCCCCAATCAAGGCCTCTTTTTAGTCTCTGAAATATCCGTGTGTTTTACCACATTTACCTGTAGTTAAGTGTAAAAAAAGTCACTTTGGGGTAAGGGGAAAAATGTAATGCCTTGTAGCCCAGGAACTGCATCTCAGCAGATTGTTTTTTCTACATACAGCAAGCTGCCTTGTACCCAGCCAGATGGCACCAGTGTCCCTGGAGAGCCAGCTTCACCCATCTCCCAGCGCCTGCCCCACAAAGTAGAATCCCTGGAGAGTCTCTACTTCACCCCCATTCCTGCTCGGGGTCAGGCCCCCTTGGAGAGCAGCCTGGACTCCCTGGGCGATGCCTTCCCTGACTCTGGCCGTAAGACCCGCTCTGCTCGCCGGCGTACCACACAAATCATCAATATTACCATGACCAAGGTTAGGCTACTGGGCATGGAGCTGCAAGATGTTAACACCAGTCCCTATCCAGGTCTCATCAGTCAGGAACACACAGGGATGACCAACAAACCTGTGAGATAGACACCGGAAAACTAAGGTCTTGCTTACTTAGGATCTCTCTTCTCGAGAAGGGTGAGGAAGGCAGACCAGAATTTAGGAAATAGCAGCTAATCCTGAGCCTTTAGCTACCCTATGCATCAAGGATGTGGCCTGGCCTGGTCCTCAGTGAACTGCTACTTTTAGGTGCCTTTTTGTGGGGGAGAGTGGTCTAGAAAGTAGATGGAAAGGTGCTTTTATGCTTTCTACTGCTGAGAACTGGGAGAGAATGTAGATGTTTCAGACCCCAAGAACCTTGGGTACAGGACAGCAGAGATTGTGGGCTGAGACCGACTAGTTAGCTCAGGGGTTAGGGGTCTGGCTCTTAGCGTTTGTAGCTGTGTGACTAAGGGGTACTTACCTTTTTACCTCTGAAATAGGCTGATAATACTGCCTTCAAAGTATTGTGGGTAGAAGAGTGTTGGCAACCTCGGCATCTTTTTTTGTTTGCTTTTTCGAGACAGAGTTTCTCAGTAGCTATGGAGCCTGTCCTGGAGTTTGCTCTGTAGATCAGGCTGGCTTTGACTTCACAAGAGATCTGCCTGCCTCTGCCTCCCAAGTGCTAGGGTTAAAGGTGTGTGCCACCACCGCCTGGCTGACCTCAGCATCTTGCAAGACCTTCTAGCTGTGTGGCCTGTGCATACACTTGCAATGTAAAGATCCTTTTAAAACAGGGTGGAAGTGTACATGTCTTATTACACATGAAAGTGGTGCTTTATAGTGTTACTGCAATGATTCATCCTTCCAGAAACTAGATGTGGAAGAGCCAGACAGTGCCAACTCATCCTTCTATAGCATGCAGTCTGCCCCTGCTTCCCAGGCCAGTTTGAGAGCCACCTCCTCCACCCAGTCTCTGGCCCGCTTGGGCTCTCCTGATGATGGCAACTCGGCTCTACTTAGCCTGCCTGGCTACAGGCCCACCACTCGAAGCTCTGCTCGTCGCTCCCAGGCCAGGATGTCCAGTGGTGCCCCCCAAGGTGAGGAGATTTCAGGAATTTTCCACAACCCAAAACTAGACTCGAAGTGGATCTTTGCATAAGGAGTAGGCAAGCTTGCAAAAGCTCAAGGCAGGCCTCCTTGCTGCCTTCCTGTACCAGAACTGCTGCCCATCACTCGTCCCTGCCACCTCAGGGCCTTCCCTATTCTAGGACCGCAAAGGAGCAGTCTGGACTAGGAGTGCTCACCAACTGCTTAAGATTCCTGGTAGTAGTCCTTCAGGCTACTTTGAGAGACAGTGGGCTTTGGGAAAGTCAGGCTGCCCAGAAATTTCTTGGAAGTTGCCCTTTAGGTACTAGGGACCCTCCTTAGGCATCAATTCATGATCCTCAGTTTCTCTTGGTGTGGGGCACCAAGCTTTGGCAGGTGGGAAAGATCCTACAACCCTGTGTATGAACTCTTCTGACCTCATGAGACAAGTAATTTGGATGGGTATGCCACTTTAAACATGTTCTGCATCATTGACACAACAGGACTGTGTATCTATCTTGAAGTCCCTCAAGATGGTGGGAGGAAACAGTGGCTACAAAGTCTGGCCAGATTAGTAGACAGTGTGACTGCAGCCATGTTTGCCTTAACTTCTTGTCCCCCATAGGAAGGAACAGCTTCTATATGGGTACTTGCCAGGATGAGCCTGAGCAGCTGGACGATTGGAACCGCATTGCAGAGTTGCAGCAGCGCAACAGAGTGTGTCCTCCGCACCTGAAGACCTGCTATCCTCTGGAGTCCAGGGTGAGATACAGGGTCACCTCAAGGCCTCCCACACTGACTCAAGTGGCTAACCTCAGTATGTATGCTGGGTCTTTGGCCTACTGGAAAGTTCACTCTCATGCTTCCACATGGAATAGTTGACAGGTGTCACTCAAGAAGTGAAGTCAGATATGAGACTGCTTGAGACTAGGTATAGGTTTTCAGGATCCAGCTCTTTGGTATTATGTGACAGCCCTAGTTCCTGCTCTATACAGCTGGGGCCCACTAATTGCTTCCTCTTGTTTCATCCACATAGCCTTCCCTGAACCTGGCAACCATCACTGACGAGGAGATGAAAACCGGAGATCCCCAGGAAACCTTACGCCGAGCCAGCATGCAGCCAACCCAAATTGCTGAGGGTGCTGGCATCACTACCCGGCAGCAGCGCAAACGGGTCTCCTCAGAGACACACCAGGGTCCTGGCACTCCTGAGGTAGGTGATGTTCACGTCTGCGTTTTGTTCTCTTTAGCACTGTATGTAGGTATGAACCAGCTCACCATGTCTTAAGTAGTGAATCTGAGGGAAGTCTTTCTTTCCATGGGACTGTTGGAAGTGCCTCTGCCAAGAGGTGGGGAAGGCATGTCGTATTGCAATTGTCCTCTGCCTCACAGTCCAAGAAAGCTACCAGCTGCTTCCCACGCCCCATGACTCCCAGGGACCGGCATGAAGGACGCAGGCAGAGCAGCACTGCTGCAGCCCAGAAGAAAGCAGCTCCAGTTGTCCCTAAACAGGTTAGGCTGGGACTGAAGGGGAGGAAGGCAGGCCAAGCGAAGCCTTGCTGGCAGAGCCCCTAAGTAGCATGTTGACAGACCTTCCCCTACAGGCGGACCGGCGCCAGTCAATGGCCTTCAGCATCCTTAACACACCCAAGAAGCTGGGAAATAGTCTTCTAAGGCGAGGAGCTTCAAAGAAGACCCCAGCAAAGGTCTCCCCCAGTACTCACAGTGGTACCCGCCGTTCTCCACGAATTGCCACCACCACAGCTGGCGCTGCCACTGCTACCCCTCGGGCCAAGGGCAAGGTAAGACTACTCTATAGGGCAGCATCCAAGGCAGGGCCAAGGTAGACCAGCAGAGAGGAGTGGGGTGTACCCTTTGTCCTGGTTAGCCATTCATAATTGAGGACCTCATATTTCTTAGGCATGATTGGTAACTGATAACTTAAAGATAAGTGTTTGTGGGACACAAAGGGAGGGGTTCTAGCTAGGGGTTTCTGAGCTAGCTATTTAATAGAGGTTGGCAACCCAAGTGACTGACTTTCTTTTTCAGGCAAAGCATTAAAGAGTCAACGCCAGTGAGTGTGCGTGGCCCTACCTGTGTCCTCAGCACTGACCTTGTCCTTTTCCTTCTACTGTCCCTCTTAGTGCCTTCTCTGAGCTCCCAGACCAATGGTGGCCAGCCCCCCCAGATACAGTGATGTTTGCCTGCACCCTTGTCTGGTGCCTAAAAGCACCAGTGAAGGTCCAGGTATCTTTTCAGAGCTGGCCCAGGAGGCTTGGAGCTTGGACAGTGTGGGATCTTCTCCCTATCTTGCCTCCTGATTTCCACCCCCACCCTCCACCCCGCTTTGGAGAAAAGTTTACTTCTCCATCACAACTAGATTTGAGGCTGGATTCTTGAGCCCAGATAGTCTTCCTTAGTCTTTGGACCTAGAAGGGACCATTGGAGAAGCAGATTCTGCTTCCTGCTGTTCCTGGTGGCTGGGCCTAGCAGAGGCCTTTGCTCTTGAAGCTCAGGACTGGGCATGACCTGGTAGGAGTCAGCTCTTACCTCCTCCCATCTGCACAAGGACACAGCTGCCTGGAGGATGCTCTTTTTCCTGGACAGATGGGTCCTGCGTCTCAGGGGTGGGATAGGGGGCAGCCTTTAATGGCAGCTCACACTTCACCTTCCCCAGACTTGCACTGGGGTGGGATATGGAACTATGGGAAGGTTTTTAAGGGCCAGGGATGGATCTTTTCTAAATGTTATTACTTGTAAATAAAGTCTATTTTTCTCCCTTGAGTACTGAGCGCTTTAGGATTGTATGAGGGAAGGAGGAAAAATTATAGCTCTTTGGAACCTGTGTGTGGTCCTGCTGAGTCTTCAGAACAACACCCTTCTCTCATCTTTCTTCCTGGGACCACATGTCCCAGGATCTTTCCACATTCCATTTCTGGCCCCTGTTCCTATTTCAAGGATTCATGTTATCCTGAATGGCATGAGAGGCAGTGCCCCCTGCTCCTTCCTGAAGCAGACAGTGTTCCTGTGGACAGTACTAGGGCCTAAAAGACATTAGAGGCTGAGATGTTGCCACATTATGAGGACTCATTGTGGGCCCTGCTGAAATTACAGATACAACTGTGATCTGAAGCAGTCATCTCCCCACTCCTTTCATGGGACAGTAAATTGGGGCAAATGAGGAAAACAAACAGAACCACCCATAAATAATGAAATCAACACAGATTGTGACCAGAGCTGAGCTGAGTGTAGATATTGCCAAAGTGTCATCTCAACCAGGGTGTTCACCTATTGGATTGGTGCAGAATCTGAGAGACCCTAACAGATCTCTGAAAATTCATGTTGAGTTCTAGGCAGAGCTCCTATTGCTTGGCTAAGGCACCATCAGGTCTAAAAGGTTCCAGAACACCAGTGAGGTGGTTAAGACATTAGAAAAGGGGATGCATGGACAGAAGGACAAGCAGGAGGAATTCTAGGGGTCTAATTTAATTACTGTAATAGTCTGGGTAGAAATGAAGCTGGAGTTTGAGAATCAGCTGCACAGGGGCAAAGCCTACGGTGGAGACTTCACCATCCAGGTAGATGAGAACCAGGCTCCATCCAGTCAAGGCCAGGCTACGGCTGGCTTCATGGTAACCCCAGGCCCTGCTGATGTGGGTGCTGGGCTGTGGCTGGAGAGGATTTCTTGAGAAGGGGATTGAACTGTCTTCATCCCATCCTGGGAAAGTAAAAGCACACAAAGTCAGAGCTAAGGAGGACTTCTTCCCCTCCTATCACTGAAGTCCCAAGTTACTTCCATCTGTGGCTGACCACAGGGAATGGCTACATGTTCATAAGCTGTCTTGGCAAAGCCCATACTTTCTTCCCTGGACAGAGAGTTCCTCCCACCCCTGGATTCCTTCCTTCAGGTTCCTTACCCAGAGCTGGGCCAGAATGATGTGATCCTGGGCCACCTGTCCAGGGTCCACAAACAAACAGGAGAAGTTGGTGCTTCGTAGGGTGGGGCTCAGTTCCTCCAGCACCAGGGCTCTCTGTAGCCAGGTGCTTGTATTCCTGTGTTCCCGACTGCAGAAGCAGAAGGAAATCATGATGGGCTGCAGGGGAAGCCTCCCTTCTGCTAGGCTAACTGCTATGACCCTCACCTTGTGTGACCCTCCCTCAGCCTGCCTGGTAGGTGCTCAATGAAGGAACCATTGCCCAGCCAGTAGAGGATGCTGAAGTAGGGGAAGCGGCTGCAGGCGGTACAGGACAAGGTCAGCGTTCCATCTAGGAGCAAATATGGCTGTTAGTTATTCTATCAAACAGAGGCCCCTACCCTGCCAGCTCCCCTTAGTCATGAATCAGAACCTGTAATACCTGTGCCCCACCTATGCAGGAAAACGTAAAAGAGAAAATACAGGAATCAGTCTCCCTAAGCCCAAAGAATGTAATTCTTCCCCTTCTGTGCCTCCTCCCTTGAAGACCTTTTCTAAAACAGTGTCCAGCACGGCGGTGGTGGTGCATGCCTTTAATCCCAGCACTGGGAAGACAGAGACAGGAGGATCTCTGTGAGTTCGAGACCAGCCTGGTCTACAAGAGCCACACAGAAACCCTGTCTCAAAAAACAAACAAACAAAAAGAACAGAAATGAAACAAATGTCCAGTATCTAAGATTCTATGACAGGTCCAATAGTCGTGCTAGTAGGCTGATGATCCTCTGAGATAGCCAGAAGGCAGGCAGGCTCTGGATGGAGGGGGTATGCCCGGGAATACCTTGCCACCAAGGCTCTGAGGGTCTACAACACTAAAGGAACCATCTTGGGAGCTGGGCAGTAGAATGGTGAACACAGCCAAGTTGGCCTTGCTGGTGCTTCTTGGCAGATGGGAGGGGCGCACTCCCATGTCAACCCAACCCCTGAACTCTGCTCACAGCCTGCCTCTGACAGCTGTAGCCTCTTGGGTTCCCATATTGCTCCTTACTCAGTGGCGCTTCTTCCTCTGGCCAGATCACGTCCACTGCTGGGTAGCGCTTGGTAGGGCCTGCTGGAGACCAGGAAGAGCATGGGTCCTTGGAGTTCCCAGTAAAGACAGTGGCAGTTGTCTGAGGTGCAGATGTAGCTCTGGCCAGAATGACAACATGGACATACAGAAGCAGGGCCCACCAAGAACTGGGGTCTGAGGAACAGATAGTTACAGATGTAAAACTCAGCATCCCAGCACTTACTTTGGTCAGAGACAAGCTGCTACTTGGGTTGGAACGGGTCTCTACCCAGATATTCCTAAGCTGTCGCCAAGCATCAGAATAGGTGGAGACCCTGCAGCCCCCACCCTATAGCCCTGCTGAATGTGGGACAAAGAAGCCTTGAAATGGAGTCAGAGCCAAAGCAGCTAGAGTGAAACTTGGAGCAATAGTAGAGTTGGATGCATCCTCTTGGGGGCAATGGTTAAGTTAGCCACACTGCTCTGTTCTATTAGGGTGACCCCACAAAGCCCCACAGCCCACCTGCTGTCCAGCAGTGTCTCATGATCATGATGACTTGTGTCAGGAGCAAGCAGGTCTGGTATCTGTAACTTCCTCTGGAAAAAGGTGAGTAAAGTTCAGCCAGCCCTGCATTTTCTTAGGTTCTATCCCTCGGACAGTGCGAATGAGCTTCTGGTACTTCATGGGGCAGGCCCAGAGCCACGAGTTGGATAATTGGCACTTAAGACTCTGCTCTTGTTACCTAGTAACAATTTCCTTTCATACCAGCTGCAAATAACATTTATATAACGGTTCCGCAATCCAATCTTGCCCAGTAGGGAGGAGGAGAAAGACACAAAAGAGCCAGGGACTTACCTGGGAAGCAGCACTCTCCGTTGACAGCCCTTGTTCTGGGAAGGGCAGGATGGAATGAGCTTCTGGGAAAGCTCCCAACCATGATTTCACTTTCACTTCCGCTCTAACTAGGAATCCCCATCCCAAACTGGCTGCTCCACCCCTTGACCCAATGAACACAGAAGCAGAATTCCCAGGTCCTCACCCCGACTCTCACAGGGATCTATGTCCACGTCACCCCACTAAGGCCCCCAGGGGGCAACACAGATTAGTACAGTCTTGCTGAGGGTCAGGACTGTGGTGCCCCTTCACCCTTCACAGCTAACTTTCTATAGAGCCAAGATCTTTTTAAACTTGGTGTTACACCCACCCATTACCATCCAAGCCTCTGTTTCCCCAGCCCCAAGGTCAACTGTATCACTTAACACCCACCCTTCACATACACAGGCACAGCTACTTGTATAGGCTCACTAGTAGTTAAGTCTTGATCTTCCTACTTGGCTCTAAACCCTGAAGAGCTTGTGGGAGCTCCAAGGCTCAGTGTGGCTGCCTGGCCCCTAAACTCTTACCACAGGAAATAGCAACTTCCCTGACTGGCTGGTGTACAAACTCCCAGCCACGGTCAAAGCTGACTTTAAACAGCCAAGAAGGCACTTCCCCAACACCAGCTCCAGTAGCTCAGGGGCTGGGACTTAGCAGGTACAGAATTAGAATCAGATAAAATCTGAAGTTGTGCTCCCCAAGTATGCCAGGGCCTCTAGGGCATGCACCTGTGGATAGTGTGTGACCCTAGGGTTAGGTCTCTGTGATCGGCGGGAAAGCTGGTGACAACAGGTAGGGAGATGAATCAGGTCTGAAGACCCAGGAATAAGGGTTGGGAAGTGATTCGGATGCAGGAGGCTAAAAGTCATGCATTTGGGTCGCATTCACATTTCTTCTGAGCAACTCCACCTACCGTCTGCCACCTAGGCTGCCGAACACAGGGAAAAACTCCTTCCTCAGAACCCAGGATCTCCAAGAGTTAACCCAGAGGTTGCACCCCCACCCCCAGGGGTGGTTCTCAGGGGGGATGGGAGGAGGTGCAGAAGAGGAACTAGGCCTCTACCTTAGAGCAACCAAGGTGATCCTCAGAGGCTGTGGGATTCAGGGCTGAGAAAGCAGCCTTGACCTTAGGGAGAATGGAGGGCGAAGGAAGAGTGATCTCTGAGCCCTTTGCTCAACTCCCAGGCCCGGAGGACGGAGGCAGCCAGGAAGCCACAGCTGAGTAAGCGAGCAGGCTGAGTAGTTTGGGGTCGTAAGGTACTAGTCTCAGACAGCGATGATGGAGTGCCACCTCAGTCTGAAAGGGGACACAGTGAGGCCTCGGGGCCCCTAATGCCACAGGGTGGGAACCACACATGGGGGCAGCACTAGTGACTCTGGGCCTCAGCTGTCAGTTGGGGTACAAGAGGCAAGACACCCAGGGGTCACAGGAAGAGGTGGCCAAAAGAACAGCAGATGGATGTTGAGCTTTCCAGCCCAGCTCATGGAGCTTTATTCAAAGGTGGTGATAAGACCCTGTTTGGTTCTTGTTGCTCTCAAAGGAGCCAGGCCAAATTTCCCTAGAAACCCAGGGCTGCAGACCCACGATGCCCTCCCTCCCAGTTTCTTCAAACGCCCACGACTAAGGCTGGGCTTGCCTAGAAGCCCATTTTCAGGAACCTGTACCCACTCAGGCCTTACTCTTCCTATCCACCCACCACTCCATTGTCAGGCCCAGGAAGAGTTCACAAATGACCAAGCCCACATAGGGATATCCCAGGGATTCCTGCTGAGCTTCAAGGGCACATTGCTGACTGGCAGAAACTGATGTTCATTAGTCTGCTATGTGCACGCACAAACATACACAATCTTAGGCTTTTGGTAAGGAAGTGATGTGCACAGTAGCCTTTGGCACATGCTACCACTTCCAGGCTGAAGGGTCTATTTGCACAAGAAGCTGAGACGTTCACTACTGCCAAAGTAGCTTCCACAGCCCAACAATATATAGATGGCTTCTATATCCTGCCTGGCATCAACCCTGCTCAGCAGCAGGTTATCCATGCTACTCGTTCTTCCAGTTGTCCCAAAATATGTCAGTGAATTGAGGTCACAGGGTTTCCCTACTTGGAAAAGTCATTGATTTTTGCCACACTCAGTCTTTAGTTTCTAGGCAGAGGGGAACAGAATCATGTACAACAGCCATCTTATACCCCAGACAGATGAAGAGACCCTTCAGTGCTCAGTGTTGATCGGTGGCACCAGGCTGAGCTCTTCCACACTGAGTGCAAAGCAGGCTGAGCCTTGCAGGGGGAAGGGAAGGTGAAAGGGTAGGCTGAGGCGCTCAGTCCTCAGAAAACCCACCCTTGCTTCCAGCCAGAGATGAGATGACCCCTCCCGACCAACAGCTTGCTCTACCCTGTTCAAGCAGGAGAAGGCCTAGGCGTGGGGGACAATTCCTATGCTCCACAATAAAAAATTTAAATATATTCATCAAAATAATTTTCTTTTAAAAAGCCCCCACTGCTGACAGCCCCACTGGCTAGTTCTCCACCATTCTCCCCGTCCCAACCCAGACACAGCTGGGGAAGTCCTGAGTGGCCCAAATGCCTTTGAGTTTTTCCCACCCAAGTCTTTGTGGGCAGCAAGGAGAGTGCCCTGAGGTCCATGGAGGGTGGGCTGTGTTCTCCAATGATGTGGTTCCTTATTATTCCAGGCCCAGGATATAGCTGATGCCTTGTACCAGGCCAATGATGACAGGCTGCCAGGCTACCAGGTATCGAAGCCAGTCCAGCAGCTGTCCATACATGACATGAGGCCTCTCCCAGCTGTTAGACTGTTAAGGATCAGAGACTATGTACAAGAGCTGTTAGGTTCACCCAGCATGGTAGTGAGGGCTTCCTTGGATTTGCCTAAAATTCTACACTGCTCTACAGCCCAGAGAAGATAAAGCTACCCAGCTTCTCTTCAGCTCTCTGTTGGAATGAAAGGCTGAACCCAGAGCATCAGGGTAAGGGAGCAGAAGGAACTGGAGCAGACACGAGAAATGGTGAGATAAAACAAATCTCCACAAGCAACATTCATGCAGGGCCTCCAGGCACTACCTCCTCAGAGATGACCAGTGTAAGCCGGACAAATACCCTAGGAATGTATCTGTGACAGGAGACTGCGAAGGGAATACTGTGTGTGAATCATAAGGGTCTTCTAGCAAGTATTTTGCCTCTGAGCTAGCTATCCTCCTGCCCCAAGAAGGTTCTTGCAATGTACAAAATGTAAGGTTTCTCCATGAAAGAGAACATTCATTCTACTGACATGCTGTACAGATGAAAGCTTTCATCTTGGCAGGAAGCTTGTTAAGATGCATGCTGTTCTTAGGTGGTGGTGGTATACACCTTTAATCCCAGCACTCAGGAGACAAAGGCAGGTGGATTTCTGAGTTCAAGGCCAGCCTGGTCTACATAGTGAGTTCCAGGACAGCCAGGACACAGAAACACTGTCTTAGGAAAAACAAACAAACAAACAAAAAAAAAAACAAAAAACAAAAAAAAAAACAAAACAAAACCAAGAAGTCTATTCTAAAGAGATGAAAAATCTCAACCAGCAGGGAAGCTCCTTAAAGCCCATAGAGTGAACAATTCAAAAGCTTCAGGAAGTCCCTGGAACTGACCAGATACACTAGACCTCTTCTTCATCAAGGATGTATAGGCAGTGAAAACTGCTGAGACACAGCTGGGCTTCCTAGAAGCCTCTCACCTAAGCTGAACTGCCTAGAAGAGGCTCAGGCCAGCTGAACTACCTGCACTAAGTTCCAGGTTTGTAGTTTCCAAAAGCCATCATCTATGGTAGCTTTTGGTGATGCAGCTGTCTTTGAGTCATTTCTGCTCCTGCAAATAACCTCTCACCCATACTCCTATAAGTAACACTAATAAAACTCACTGGTTCACCAGGGTGTACTTGGGTGGTGCCCTTGCTTTGTCTGTCATCGGTTCTCATCTGGGGTGAGTAGATGTTCATTCATATCTTCCCAGGAATAGCGTCAGAATAGCGTCACAAACCAGGCCAGGGTCAGAGGGAAAAGGGAACAGGAAGTCACAAGGCGCTCACCCTTGGTAAAGACTTGAGGAGGTCCTCCTGAGGCCAAGAAGTCTTTGGGTGAGTTCCTTCCCTTTTACTTTACACTTAATGTAGGAAAAGGGGTCTGGAGAGGGGAGAGAAAGCTTGCAAAGCCCCGCTGGGAGGAAAACCCGACGAAGCTTTGGGAGTGGGTGGAGTGCTCCTGTCCCCTGATCAGTCCTGCTGGGATACAGGGAGAGGCAACAGCACAGAGGGCAGCTAGGGGAGGAGCTGGGACAAAGTTGGATCCTTGGACCCCACAGAAAGTGAATGCAGGACCACAGAAAGGCTGGGTGGGAAGAGTGAGTGAGTGCCAAGGAAAGCAGGCCCTTCATTAGAAGCGAATGGAGAAACGGTGTTCCCAGCTAGCCAGCTTCTTCAGGCCTGCCTGCACAGGTGAAGGGAGAAGTCTCTAGATGCACATCACTCACTGCTGGAGGAACTGACCATTGCTCAGCCTCTAAAAGTTGCTAGCGAATCAAGTGAGATGATACACGTGAAGACCTTTCTAGAGAGGAAGTGGACACATGACAAGTGGCAGTGGCTGCTTCCATTAGTAATTTATGATGGGCAGCTGAGTTTCCCTGCTGCCTCATGTCACACCCCACTTCCCAAGAACAGAAACCAAACTGAGTGGTAAACATTCTAGATTGGAGGCAGCACGGATGGCCCCAGGATGACCCAGACACTGATAGTACTTTCTTCCCACCACCCACTCTCAATAAGGACCCAAAGGATACGGGTTGCTGAACATCCTCTTCAGGTCCACCTTCTCCTTGCAGTAGGGGCACGTCTGCTTCTTCCCCACGATGCACCAGCCTCGGATACAGAACTCATGGAATCTGAGCACCATTGGTCAAGGGAAGTGGTAGGGAGGCAAACTGGTACTTTAGCCACATCGTGGATCTCAAGGTGCCAGAGCATCACCTCCAGAGAAAGGTTCAGCAGTAGGCTTCGCTCCTTACATATAGCTGTGTAACTTGGGGCAGGTCCCTTCCCTCTGAATGTTTGCTCACAGGGAAGTGAGAGCAATGATCCTTATTTGCATTGTTTTTATGAGCCAAGATGGAGATAATACACAGTTCCCAAAATGACACAGGATGGGCACTTAGCAGATACATGATGGAGATGACATCAAATCCACAGTATCGGATTTGAGTCTAAATTGAAGCATTTCACTAGAGTCCCCCCCCCCCAACATGCTGGCTGCAGCTTTGGGTTGTTCTCTGTGACCTGGCAGTCCTTAACTATCTTTTTCTGAAGGGGAGTGCCAGTGTGGAAGAAAGGGTGAGGAAAGCTAAAGCTTCTGTCATGGCTCACCTACACTCCAACTCTGGACCACACACCATGGTCCCCCCAACCCTCCTCCTGCCATGATTGGAGTGTAGGTTCAGGAGAGATGTAGCACACAGCAGGATACACGTGGTTGCAGGAAAGCCTGTATGTGTTCTCGATGATGCCCTCTTCGTTGACATCCACAAAGATCTGCTGCCCACACACAGCACACACGCTGTCTGAAAGGTGCTTGGTAGGCATGCCCGACTCACTGTAAAACTAGAGGATGAGAGCAGGAGGGAAGGCCAGAAAAGCTGTGAGAATCTGTCTGCCTGGGAAGGTTAAGGATGTTGGTCACGTTGCATCTGCAGTTAGGAAGCAGAGAGATGGATGCTGGTGCTCAGCTCACTTTCTCCTCAGTCCAGGACCCCACCCAGGCAATGGTATCACCCACAGTTAAGGTAGGTCCTTCAGACAGACGCAGAAGTTGGTGTTTTAGGTGATCCTATTTCTTGTCAAGTTAACAATATTTACAACAACAGTCTTCTAGCTGGTCTTTCTGAATCGTGTCTGCCTCCTCTCCAACCCAGTCTCCACAAAGACCACGTTTTAAAAGTCTGAGTGGGGAAGCTTGCTAATGAAGGAGTCCTTAAGCCAACTGTGTTGACATCTGCCAAGGGAAGGTTGACCACCAATGGGCACTTAGTGACTTAAGACACAAACAGAAGTCAGGTTGGAACACACTAAGGAGTGGACAGGTGCCTACCTGTGAGGAGCAAGGGACAGGCCAGGAATCAGATGAGAAAGTGACCCTGAAAGGGACTTTTTTTTTTTAAAGATCTATTTATTTATTACATATACAGTGTTCTGCCTACATGCCAGAAGAGGACACCAGATTGAATTGCAGATGGTTGTGAGCCACCATGTGGTTGCTGGGAATTGAACTCAGGACCCCTAGAAGA